TATGGAAGGAGTCTGTTCCAGACTCCATTTGTCTTTTGCCGAAGCTCAGACTCTGGCACAGGATTGGGAATGTTGGAAACTCTGTCTGACGTGTCTGCCTCCGCGACCCGAAAGGAAAAGCGGCAATGGAAGAAGAAGATGATGATGATATTATGGTATGGAGAGGCTCTCTGCGGCACATCCAGGAGGCTAGCCATGCAGAAGGTAATTGAAGCGTAATATCTACCATCATCACAATCGGATGGCTTCAAAATCTTGACAGTTCCCACACACCTATGGGAATCATACATTTTGTTAGTTTTTTTATTCAGTTTCCTACAAATCATGTCATTTTTACTGTGCTCGAGAATGTTCTCATTCGGTCGCACTCAATGATGCGGTCTTGCAACCTATGGACTACAGGGGCTCAAGTACCACGGTGTCGCGCGCTTCCCTCAGTGGGCCTCTGAGCGACTGGAAGAGAGTGGGGAAATTTTGTAATACCCCTAGCACGGTTTAATATTTGCCGTTTGTTTTACACTCTAACAATATCGCTTTAAAATAACTTTTCTTTTACAGTTTACGCTATGAGTAACTGAAAGATAATAAAATTAAATTAAAAAAACAAGCGCGTTACAATTTAAGGGCATAAAGACGAAGCGCCATTTCATATTGTTCGTTCGAAAATGAGGTAATTTCCTGAGTTGGTTGGTCTCTACGAATCACATCTTGTGAGCAGCACTAAGAAAACTGGTGAGCCGAGAAAAGTACCACAAAGCAGATATGATAAACTCGCCTGAGCATAACAGAAGTCCTTTTGAGGCCAACGATTTTCAAGTACTGCATCCGGGGGCGAAAGTCGTCCCCCGAATGATAAGCCTGGTCAATGACCTGCCGGACTCAGTTATGTTCGAGTTGGAAACAAATTTTCCAGAAATATTTGCGCTGTTCGAAAAGTGCTTTGTCATCAGAAGTGGAAACAGCGTCGACGTTGCTCTGAAAATAGCAAAAGGAACTGTCGTGGTGGCTAAGAGCGCTGTTGAGAACTTGATTTTGACCATAACGGCTCGGCGAATAAGACGCCCGACTCTCTCTGTTTCCAATGGAATTCACTGTCATGCATGGAGGAAGGCGCCGGCTAAAAAGCTTGAAGTTAAGTTGAAACTCATGAACGGTCCTGCTTTGCAAGAAGGACAACGGTTTCCTGCTCTACTTGATCCCAGAAGCGCCCTGGAAGCTTTTAATATGCGGTTTAAAATGAATAAACTTGGATTAGATTATTCTGAGAACCTCCGACCAGACGTCGACACGAGCCAGTCGGCACAAGTTGATGATGATGATGGCGATGACGACGGGCTAATTGTCAGAGCAACCACTGAGCTCCCCGCAGAGGAGCCGCCCACGAGCAGCGTTCGAAATCATGACACAAGCAGCAATTCCGGTACTGATGGTTCTAGTGACAGTGGAAAAGAGGGCAATGATGTACAGAAAAGTAGCTGAGCGACGTAAAGCAACTATGCAGAGAAAACATTATGGAATGTGAACTTCCATATTTTGCATGGAATTCTAACAGCTTTTGGACTGAGCCTGCGTTAATAGTTCAGCAATCTGGAATCTCACGGATGTCCTATGGAAATATGAAGCGAATTACGCAAGTCGTGGTGTACATCTCGAGCCTCGCATAAACATATTTCTGTGACTTTTTTGTCATCAATATGGATGTTTGGTATGCTGATTTTCAGCTTATTCCGAAGTCCTACATTCGAATGCATTCAAACAGCACGGAAAGGGGAAATCTTTTTCCCCTTCTAAATGCAACCAGCGGAGAATGTTTTTGAATATTCTGGAAGCCTTTGTTCATATTATTTCACATAAATCAAATGTGATGTAAATTTTCGGCTCAATCGGATTACTACCCCTTTGAAGTGTCGCTATGTCACCTGACGTGCCTTCTGTCATGTTTCTTTTCCTTCATTTTCTGATGTCTGAATTGCAACAACGCAATTTTGGGTTTAAGCCCAATACCGCACACGCCGTTAAGAAACTACCGTGTTTTTCAACATACGTGAATTCTATGTGCGCTAAAATCCGCTCTGCTTTAAGAAATATGCTTTCGTTTGATAGCTTATCTTCATCTTCATCTTCCATCGCCGCTTTTCCTTTCGGGTCGCTGAGGCAGACACGTCAGACAGTGCCTCCAACATTCCCGATCCTGTGCCAGAGTCTGAGCTTCAGCAAAAAACAAATGAAGTCTGGAACAGATTCCTTCCATATGATTGCACCAGGTTAATCTTAGCCGTTCCCTGGGCCTTTTGCCGGTCGGATTTGTAAGGAACAGTTGCTTAGCCTTTCTTTCTGGAGGCATTCGCAA